CGCCCGCTAACTTAAGTAGGATAGGAGCCGCCTGAGCCGAGCCGCGGCAACAGGGAGCAGCTCGGGCTCGGGAGGGGCGCGGCGCTCCCGAGAGGCCCCCCCCGTGGCTGCTCCTCGTGGCCCCTTCTGGTGCACCACACGGCGCTCTCTGGGCGGGCGGGGGGGCCGCGCACGGGAGGCGTCGGCCCCCCTGCTCTGCGGCCCTTTGCGGCGGCAGCGTCGCCGTGCTCCTGCGGCGCCCCCTTTGCACCTTCCCCTCTCTCTTCCCCCCCCCCCCCCTCTCGCAGGCCCAGAGGTTGACACCAACACCAAGATCGGCGGTGTGCCTCCACCGAGGGGTGAAGATCCCAGTCTCGGTGATGGTGGTAATATTCTGGCTTCCAAGGTGACCGAAATATTACCACCAACACCGAAATCCAGGATCATCCTCCCCCTGTGAAGGCAACCCCCTGTTTTTGTGTTGGTGCCCATTTCCAGGCCTCCCCCCCCCCGCGGGTCCCTTCGTGCTTTCCATCCGTCATGGGGGAAAGAAACACACAGACACAATTGATCGTCGATCCCCCCGAAACTATACATATGGGAACCTATGGGAAGCGGGGGGGAGGACAACAACCCAGAAGAGATGGGCAACGATGGGGGATCCGGTTCTTTGCGTGTATCTGTTTGTGTGTCCCAGGGCCCTCCGCGCTTTCTCCATCAGCCGGAGGAGCCACCGGGGCGGCAGCTTCGTCATATGTGTGTTCCCCCCGCAGCATGCCGCCGCCCTCCCCCCGAAATTTGTGGGGGCCAGCCTCTGGCTGCCTGGGGCGCGCTCGCGCTCGCTCGTCTCGCGCTAATGCAATGGCGTGAAAAAGCGGCCCTGCCCTGGTTTCTGAGACGCTGTGCGCTGAACCTCCTGTGGGCTGACAGAGTAAACCCCCTGCGTGCCGCGCGTGCCGCGCGGCGTCCTGGCGGCTCTCTGGCCTGTGGGAGCTCTCAGGAGATTCACTGGCCACACACTTGTAACCCAGGGTAGGGGCGCTTCTCCACGCCTCAACTTATGGAAGCACACCCGTGTCTGCATCCTCGTAGCCCAATTCGAACGGTGGCCCTACACATCGGGCGAAGAGAAGTATGCACATGCTCCGATCCTGGCAAGGCCCATCCTTGACCCAGGATCGGTGCAAGTGCCTTCCTGGCCAAGGCAGGAGGGCGTATGCACCGATCCTGGGCTCAGGATGGGCCTGGCCAGAGTCGGTGTATGTGCATAGTTCTCTTTCCCCTACTACAGAAGAGCAGTGAGCTGACTTCACCTCGCGGTGCTGCCGGCCAGCGCGCGGCGGCACCGGTGGAGGCGACATAGCTATCAAGAACAACGGGGCAGCACCGCGCTGCGAGCGCGTCGATCCAACAGCAGGCAGCAACGACGGGGGAGGCCCCGAGGGGCACAAGGGCGAACATGGGGGCCACACAAAGCAGCGAGAGACGAACGGCGCACGCCCCAACTTGCGAGCGGGATTTCTATCCATACCCAGTGCGTCTTGGACTTTTCGGGAAGGGGCGCCACAAGGCCGAGGGGCGCCCCGGAAATTGGTAAGCATCGAGCCTCTTGGGGCCACATTTCAATCCATATGCAGTGCGCCTCATGTTTTTGTTGGGAAGAGAGCCCGAAACACTCCCAGACGCACTGGATGTGGATATGGACCTTGCCCGCAATTCTGTCCTTGTTTCCGGAATTCACCGCCCACCACACCACAACCCATTCCGATTCGCCCTCCATCCATTCCCGGGGGGGGGGGGGGGGGCTGGGGCACACGGAACCAAAACACGTGTGACGCCCTACCCCCCCACCCCACCCGAGATTGGGGTCTTCGGTTTGGGCTGGGGTGGTCTGGTAGGTAGTCAGGGACAAGAGTTGATCAACACGTCCTTCGGGGACGGCGGACTCCACCCCTGACGCTCGACTTATGTCGGGCGTGTCCCCCTACGGGGGGATCTTCGACGAAACATAAAAAGCACCCCAAAAATACCCCGAAAAGGTTAGAAACTAGTCAAACAACAGTCCCCAGACTAGTTCTGGACTATTGTTTGATTATTTGTGGGGTATCTTTTCTTTTTCGTCGAAAATCCCCCTGTAGGGGGGCACGCCCGACTTACCCATCGGTCGTTGAAAGTAGGTATTTTTGGATTCCCAGGTTCCAATCTACTTTCAGCGCCTTCCTACTTCAAGAGTCAAGTGGTTTTCCCTCTTCCCTCCTCTTCAGGAGGCGGGGCGGAAACCCAATCAATTTCCAACACCTTCCTACTTCATGTTTCTACCTACTTCTTCCGACCGATGGGTAACGCTCGACGACACAGGCGATCCCCCCCTCGATGCCTCGACGCCGAGGGCGGGCGTGCCCGCCGGCCCTCGCGAGGCCCCTGCCGGCCCCCCGTGGGGGGGTCTTCGGCTGGGGCGCGGGAGGCCTCCTGGAGGGCGGGAGGCCTTCCCACTGGATGCCCTCCTCGCCCACCCTGCCTC